TGGGGTCAAAGGCCAGTGACAGCCTATCAGAGGAGGGGTATTTAGGCCCAGTTCTCATCCTGCTCAGTGCCCTGTCGTGGTTTCCCTTGTGGTTGTCCGAGAGCGCGTTATTTATTCTGGTATTTTGGTTATTTGACTTTGGCATTGTTTCTGACTTCCCTGTTTTCTGGTATCCCTAACTCCCGGCTTTTCCTTATCGTTGTGTCTCTTTCTGTATCCCTTGACCTCGGCTATTTCTGACTATTCTTTGGTACGTTAGTCTGGGCATCCGGCCATTCTAAGGTCTGGTACACGTTAACTATCAGTCCTCTGTGTTACACAATTCTACGTGCTGGATCATACTGTAATCCTGACAGTCATTTAGGCCCCGGGGAGAGTGCGCAGCTTAGCGGACAGGGGCACATGTATGAGTGTGGGATGGATGATGCATGATTGGCTACATGCTACATGTGGGAGTGTGAGATGTGAGGAAGTGGGTGGTGACAGATCAGACTGTCCTCAGTGCCACTTAGGAGCCGGGCCAGCAACAAGTTTCCCACCCTCCCTTTGCTGCTTTGGGCCCGGGGGGGGGGTTGTCACAGCAAGGCAGGGGTGTGTCCTTGCCAAATAAGGGATGGTTTGGTAGATTAGATGAAAAAGGGGGATCATGGCTGGGTCTCATCCTCCCCCTGTCTCTTATGGTGAACCTGGAGGAGGTACCAGGTTGGACGTGTCCCCACTGGGTTGTAAGTCGACCAGTGGGGAGCATTATGGTTGGGCCCCACCGAGTTGGTGGGGAGCCCTGAAAAGGAAGATGTTTTTATTATGCCGAGGGGGGGAGGTGAGAGCCTTGGGGAAGTTAGATTGGCAAGGACGGTTTCTTTGGTTACTGTATGACTATATGCAAATTGTTTATGTTAATTTATGATATTTATTATTTCGTTATATGTTAAAGGAGTCATACAGTATTTGGTTGTGTTAATAAATGCTGTGGCCTGTTTTCTCCAAGAAGTTGTCTGTCGTTATTTGAAGGGGTAAGTTATGGTTTTATGGGGGATGAAGGGAATGCTATCCAATGCCCACTACGTACATACAAGACAGAACACTGATGAAACTGCTGAATTGCATCCTAACAGAATAAGAAAAGTTTCTCCGTTCATGTTAGGACGCAATTCGGGACTTTGTTCAGATCGGAATTTCATTAGAATGAATGAAACTCCGATCCTATTTGTGCCGTGGCTGCATCTTGCAACTGCTTAGTAGGTAACTCCCTAATTCCCAAGGTATTAGGGAGCTATCTACCAAAAGGCTGAAAGACCTATACAGGTGATAGTTGAAAAATTTGATTATTGTGCAAAAGTTTATTTATTTTAGTAATGCAACGTAAAAGGGGAAACTAATATATGAGATAGACGCATTACATGCAAAGCAAGATAGTTCAAGCCGTGATTTGTCATAAGTGTGATGATTATGGCTTACAGCTCGTGAAAACCCCAATTCCACAATCTCAGTAAATTAGAATATTACATGCAATCAATAAAACAAGGAGTGTACATAGAACAATAAGCATGCATATGGACTCAGTACTTGGTTTCAGCCCCTTTTGCAGCAATTACTGCCTCAATGCGGCGTGGCATGGAAGCTGTGGCACTACTGAGGTGTTATGGAAGACCAGGATGCTTCAATAGCGGCCTTCAGCTCTTCTGCATTGTTCGGTCTCATGTTTCATCTTTCTCTTGGCAATGCCCCATAGATTCTCTATGGGGTTCAGGTCAGGCGAATTTGCTGGCCAATCAAGCACAGTAATCCCACGGTCATTGAACCAGGCTTTGGTGCTTTTAGCAGTGTGGGCAGGTGCCAAGTCCTGCTGGAAACTGAAGTCAGCATCCTCATAAAGCTCATCTGTGGAAGGAAGCATGAAGTGCTCCAAAATCTCCTGGTAGACGGCTGCGTTGACCCTGGACTTAATGAAGCACAGTGGACCAATACCAGCAGATGACATGGATCCCCAAATCAACACAGACTGTGGAAACTTCACACTGGACTTCAAGCATCTTGCAGTGTGTGCCTCTCCATTCTTCCTCCAGACTCTGGGTCCTTGGTTTCCAAATGAGATGCAAAAGTTGCTCTCATCAGAAAAGAAGACTTTGGACCACTGAGCAACAGACCAGATCTGATTTTCTTTAGCCCAGGTAAGACACTTCTGACGTTGTTGTTCAGGCGCGGCTTGACAAGAGGAATAAGACATCTGAAGCCCATGTCCAGGATCCGTCTGTGTGTGGTGGCTCTTGATGCACTGACTCCAGCCCAGTGGCGGATCCAGAGCCTGATCTCGGGAGGGGCACTTGTAGAATATTTAAAGAAATAATCCATAGTAGCAGTGGTATGTGTTAGGGGTGAAGTGTGTGTGAAAGGTGCAGTGTTTGTGCGAGTGCGTGAGGGTGGCAGTGTATGTCTGGGTTGCAGTGTGTGTTAGGGGGCAGTGTGCGAGCGGTGCAGTGCGTATGTGTGTTTGAGGCAGTGTGTGTATGGGGGGGTGTGTGTATGGGGGCACTGTATGTGTGTGGGGCAGTGTTTGTGACATTGTGTGTATGGGGAGCACTGTATGTGTCTGTGGGGTAATGTGTGTATGAGGGGCAATGTGTCTATGCGTGTGCAGTGTTTGTGGGGCAGTGTGTATGGGGGGGAGGAAGGAGGGTACGAAGGCTTTTTAATCATTTTTAAACATTTATATTTGATTAAAAATAATTATATTTATGTTCCCCACTCCCTTCTTACCTTTACTGGGATGAGGGGGGACATTTTTTGATCCCTGGTGTTTCCAGTGTGGTTTGAGTGAACCCTTCTTCCCCAGTCTGTAGGCACATTGCATTAGCTGGCAAGGGAGAATCTCGGAGTGGGCAGTTGTCCACCCCCCCGAATCTGCCACTGCTCCAGCCTCAGTCCACTCCTTATGAAAGTCCCCAACACTTTTGAATGTCCCTTTTCTGACAATCCTCTCCAGGCTGTGGCAATTTCTGCTGCTTGTGCACCTTTTTCTTCCACATAACTTTCTATTAATGTTATTTGATACAGCACTTTGGAAACATCCAACTTCCTTCGCAATTACCTTTTGAGGCTTTCCCTCCTTATGGAGGGTGTCAATTATGGTTTTCTGCATAACTGTCAGGTCAGCAGTCTTCCCCATGATTGTGATTCCCACTGAAGCAGACTGGGAGACCATTTAAAGCAGGGGTTCTCAACGTTAGTCCTCAGGACCCCCTACCAGTCCAGGGTTTAGGGATTACCTGGGTGTGTTTTTTTTTTTCCTTTTTCTAAACACCTGAGACACACCCAGGTAATCCCCAAATCCTGGACTGGTAGGGGGTCCTGAGGACTGGGTTGAGAACCCCTGATTTAAAGGCTTATAAACCCTTTGCAGGTGTTCTGGATTACTTAGCTGATTAGAGTGGAACACTGAGCCTAGAATATTGAACCTTTTCACAATATTCTAATTTACAGAGAATGTGGATTAGGGGTTCTCATGAAGTGTAGGCCATAATCATCGCACTTATGACAAATCACGGCTTGAACTATCTTGCTTTGCATGTAATGCGTCTCATTAGTTTCCCCATTCACGTTGCATTACTGAAATAAATGAACTTCTGCACGATATTCTAATTTTTTGAGTATCACCTGTATTGGTCTTTCAGCCAAATCTAAGTAAAGATTACCTATTAGTTTATTCTACCCCTACTTGCTATATTTTGAGTAGGGGCATTTCTATTAAACAGTGAGCATCCTATTGTCCCTTCTCCCGAGCCACATGAGTGAATGCTATTAAATGGGGCAGGAATGTAGAGCCCCTAGTTCCCACCCCTGAGCGGCGAAAGACAGTGTTTACATTACAGCCTAGTGATAATGTCACTGGCCACTCAGATGGCTGCTAGAGATCCTTCCTGGGTCATGGCTATCTAAAATGCATCAGTATCTCCTCCCTCTGCATGCAGACACTGACCTTTCCTCAGAAATGCATTGATTCAGTGCATGTCTATGATGAGATGCTGATTGGCCAGTGCTGTGTCTACCCCTGATCTGCCTCCTTGACAGTCTCAGCCAATCCTATGGCAAAGCATTGATTGGATCAGGCAGTACAAGTAAGATTTTACTACATTTAGGGAACTAAAGGGGGCTAGAGGGAGGTTTTAACACTAGTGCTCCTTTAAAGGAATTCCATTGAGAATCATGGGGCATTAAACAGTTGGATGGTCTTATTAAAAGATTAGACAAGTGCAAAAAAATATATTTTGAAGCATAGGTGTGATGTATAGATCTTTGTTCCCACTAAGAAAGATGGGAAGTGTAGGATGGAGAGGAAATAAGTAAGCTATGATAACTAATTTGTTAAGACATTTAGGGGTTATTGCTCTTTAGAACATAAGTTAACACCAATCTAAAGAGTCTGCAATGTATGACAAAATATGCCCAATTTTATTGCAGGACCTAGTAACATAGCAAGAAGGGCATATCTCCAACCAAGAACAAAATTCTATGTAATGCCAAGGTTTTGCAGAGTGACATTGTAGAGGACTGTCAAGAGAGGCTCTGAAGAAATCAGGAAATGCAAAAGACAGTGGGAAAGGTTGGGTTGTGGACAAGGCTGGGAATAAGTATGGTCAGGTGGAGCACTATCCATGTACATGTTGGGATCTGGCTAGTTAAAGTTAATTGGTCCAAAAGAATCATGCAAGTTGGCAACTTTGCAATTATCTGAAGGCCAGGTAAGGCTCAGTACATCTAAAATGGCCAATGACAACCCTATACAGTTCCATGATACTAGCCAGCCATCAGAATGGAGTGCAAAATTAGATGCACTGGTTTTAAAGTTAGCCAACCCTCCTCTAAAGAGAGTGACCAATAAGTTGAAAAAAAAAAAAAAAAATTCAAAAGAGATCCACGCAGCTTGTGCACTCTTTTGTATACTAAGTAGATATAATCCTTGAAATATAGCCTGACCCGTTTTGAGGAAAACACCCAAAACGCTAGAAATTAACACTATTGTCCCAGTTACTTACTGATGGCAGGTGTATTGTATTAATGCATCACATGTGGTTCTACTTTCCAACAGTAGAAGGAATTGATTAAACCATGTCCACAACATTAGCTCACAGAATAGATCAGATGTCATTTAGTTTATTTAGCAACTGTACACCAGAATGCACTAACAATTAAGCACACATTATTGTGGATTAGATGCCCTCATTTAATCACATTCCAGCCTACATTTGGAGACTGTATACATGTGATCCACCTCAGCCACTGTAGTCTTCCTGAGTGACCATCAGTTTGTAGTGAGTGACCCCTTTCCATGTTCCCTGGATGGTGGTTTCATAGCCAAACAGGGTGCAGATCTTGGCAGTGTATGGCACATCCATTTGTGCTTTTGTGACAGAAGCCATCATACGTATAGACTTTCCACCCGGCACCTCTACATCCGTGCTGGCTGAGAAGCTAGTCTGTAGAGAGAAACATGCATTAGAATGGAGGGTTGAATAGCAGGTGCTTAAAAAGAAAGCTTCCATTCATAAACACTAGTTCTGTTGATTGCTAGAGTGTGAGTCAGAACTAAAAGGTAGGGTCACTGGTAATGTTGAGCAAGACATTTGATAGAGAGATGGGCTTATACCGTCAAAAAAAATTTAATTTTTTTTTAAAGATAAAGCAGACATTCTGAAGCAGTGTATAGGTGGAAGATGTAGTTGGACAAACAGGAACAGATTTAGAGCAGGGGTGGGAAACCTTCAGGCCTCCAGATGTTGTGGACTACATCTCACTTTATGCTTTGCCAGCATCATGGGAGATTTAGTACAAAACATCTGGAGGGCCAAAAGTTCAAATGCACATCAGCTTGCAAAATGTGCCATAAAAGGATACTCAGTGGCCAGTATGCAGACCGATCCCAAAACCAAGCTAGCATGACAGACACATACCTGGGTTTCATTGGTCTTTGAGAAGCTCCATGTGTGAGTGGTACTTGTGTTGATGGAAATGCTTGTCTCCATGTCACCGATAAAGGGGATTCCAGCTGTGAAACTGACCTCTGCTCCAACTTCTACTGTAAAGCCATGTTCCTGGGTAAAGCTGCTAGTCTCAGTCATGGTTTTGGTGAATCTAAGAAGAAAGTTGCAGAAAGGTGGTTATGGACTAGAAATCTTTTTACAAGATACACCACTGAGCTTGTAGAGTATACAGCTTACACTGAGTTGAGTATACCCTCAACATCCAGTAACAAGTTTGGAGTGACATTGCAAACAGCATCCAGATGTAGAGCAATAGAGGATATTAAAAGCTGTCAGAGTGTTATGGTGCCATGCATGCAATGAGTATTCATTAAATTGCAGAGTGAACAGGAGATTTGAAACTAGACTATGCTGCATTTGAGAATCTTTGCCTATTTTAGCCCAAGATAGAATAACGTCACATTAATCCCTTCTGTAAGAGAGAAAGTCAGACTATTCATTCAGTATATACTTACGAGAAGGAGTACTTTAAGGGAACGCTGCTTGTATTCTTGTAGATTTGAGACTGGACCACCTCTGGCTGCTGAGAGAGTATTTTACCTGATGCAGGTAGGAATTCAAAGCTTACAACACTCTGGATGGTTTTATCAGTGGTGAGGGATAGAAAGCGGTACAGATTATAGCTCCAACCTAGATTCTCAGCCTTATCCAAATAGTTGGTATCATCTTTAGTTGGGATTTTCCCTTTATAGATGTTGCCATTGCGTGAATCCACACACCACAGTAGGTCATCAAGGCTGATCTTCATGAAGTGGGTGAGAATTCGCCAGCCACCATTTCCAATAGTGGTGCAGGAGTCAAGCCATTTATCGTTTGTTGTGGATGGAGGGCTTCCCACCACAAGCTTGTCACCATCGGTCACAGCATACAGATTGCCTTTTTGGTCAAAGAAAAGCGCATCATGTTTATTCCAACCAGAGTTTCCTATCTTGGTTGCTTGGCCATAACGCCAGGACACATTTTCATTGCTTGGTGCTGGACCCTTGTAGAGCTCCCCATCTTTTGTAGCTGCATACAGAAGCCCATTTGGGTCAAAGAATAGAAATTTAAATTGAACCCACTCAGCTTTTCCCACTCTCTTGGCAGTAGAGAACCAATCAAGGTTTGCAGACAGAGGCATGGGCCCAGTGTAAAGATCCCTGCCACGGACAGCAAAGAGTTGCCCTTCAGGGCTAAACACAATCTTGTTTACATCATTTAGCTTCCCTACAGCAGTAGATCTGTCGTAGTAGCTATCCATACGATCCTTGGGCGGTAGGCCAGCTCTAGCTACATAGTCACTGCTGATGGCAAACAGGATGGTATCTGAAATTAGATGAAACATTTTACATTATGAAGAAGAACTGGTTGAGGTTAAGATCCAGTACAGAGCAACAGCAGGACTTCTCACAATAAAGTCAGCAAGTTTCTAGGCGTCTTACAGACTTCAGAATGTTCCCTTCCACCTGCACATGTAAAGGTGAGGGCAAAAGTGCATCCTTTGATTTAGAATGGTATAGCAGAGAAACTTTATTTTACTTGTACACAAAGAATACCAATTAAGAACTACATACTTCCATGTCCCCATTCACATGCACACAGCCGCCATCAGAAATTTTGGGGCCCCTTGACAAAGCACAAGGTCTGGGGTCTCCCCCCTTCCCCGGTCCCGCCCACGCCCTACCTAGTCCACTCAGTTATGCAGGACTGAATGTGGTCAGTATATTGGAAGGGAATTAGAATGTGTGTAATGATGTAGTGTTTGTGTAGCAGATGCAGTGTGTAGTGGATGAAATGTGGCAGTGTGCGGTGTTAGTGCAAATGTGCAGCAGATGCAGTGTGCGGTGTTAGTGCAAATGTGCAGCATAATCTGGGGAGGGATGGGGAGGAATGGGCATTTTTACAGTAATTTTCTATTAAATTTAATAGACTTATTAACCCTCCCTGCTTACGTGTGTCCAGGGAGGGGAAGGGGGTCGAAGATTCCCTTCCTGGTGGTCCAGTGGCATGGGGGCCCCAGCACACTGCCTGTTCTCTCTAATAACTCACAAGACCCATGGCCTTCTGAGCGTTGCCATGGCAACGCTCCGCATGGCACAGGCCACGGGTCTTGCGAGAGTATTAGAAGAGAGAACAGGCAGTGTGCTGGGCCCCCTCTGCGGTAACAGGGAGCCCGTGGCTGCACACAGATGCGATATGCGCTATGTGCGGAGAGGGAAAGTGGGGCCCGGGACTGCCAGAGCAGTCCAGGCCTGTGACAACCATCATGTTTGTCACCCCTGAATGCACAGAAATACAGACATTTATATAGCTTTAACGTCCCATTAGTGCGGCAGTTGACAGTGAAAGACTAATGCATTAAGAAGGTTTGAATAGCTAGGTTACATTGTAAGCTGGATGAAGTAACTTCCATCGTTTTAATTTCAGACATTGCATGACTGCACTATATGATGACATAGCACCCTTTATTTCCGATTTCAGCTCGGATAAATAGAGCCATTCAAGACCAAAACAAGTTGACCAGTCCACTGAAGCAGGTCAGTTATTTTCCCTCTGCAACAGTTTCACCTTCAACATCAGGAGCATAAGCCACAACCTCCTTACAAAATGTTGATATTACACCCATCTCTAGTCTGCACACCTCAGATCTTTGTTGATGTGCTACATTTGGGGACACTTCCCCCAAACTGGACACATTTCTGACACTGTCACCATCTGAAGTAACACATCTATTCCTGTACTCCTAAACTAGCACAGTGGAGGAGATCAGAGGCACCTTCTGTGGGAGAGCTCACCTACTTTCCCCAGTCTCAATTCCTCAGCGTTGAAGGTCTAGTGAGAAACAGAGATACATGGTGGACAAACCCATTTTGAAGTAGGTTTCTCCTTATCCAGCAAGAAATGCATTGATGGAATGTAAAAAGTAAAAAAAAAAAAAAAACCTATAGTAAAAACTAAGATAGCATGACAGTATAAAATGCACATTATTTTAGGATCAAATACCTGGTGTATCCATTATCACAAAGGTCAGAAAATCAACTCCTAGATCTCTGAACTCCCAGCAGACTATTTCTAAAAGTCTTTGGCTTGTGTAGATGAGGATTTTTTTTCCAGATAATGCTGTATAAAAGCCCCCAACCAGTCCATCAGCTTTATAGTCTGTGCCCCTCCCTAAACACAGCTGAACGTGGTTTGTTAAAAGACTCTGAGCAATGATCTGCTGGTTAATCTGGTAGGAGAATGGTTAGCTAATCACTAGACTTGGGCACAAATTCCTTCCAGCAGCATTGATCAAATCAAATGCCTTCCAGTTAATGGTCAAATTAATCGATTTGTTCTGAAATGGCTAATCAATCAATCGATTAATAAGTATCAGGGCAGCTGAAAGGGATTTGTGCACAAATCTCCTAACTACGTCTACATGTTAATGGACTGTACATAAAAAGTGCTTCCCTCCAGCTTGTGGCATTCATATGCTGCAGTTGGGAAACCACTAATCAAGGCAGTTCATTTGCAGTTCTTCCCTGATTCATATAGATATTTCTCTTACGCAGCAAATGATTTCTACATGCTACAGAGCAGCTCTTTTCCTGCACTGCCCTACAGCATGAACTCACAAGTGTCATGGAAAATAACCCTGCGTATGGCCACTATTGGGTCCAGTGAGGCTTTTGCTGTTGTTTGACGAATACAGAATCCAGAGTTGGAAAATATATAGACAAGACAATAGAACCCTACTTTATAAAACACATCCTCCAGAAACACTAGAGTATGTGAATTTCTATCAGAATATTATGTAAAGTTGCCAAAAAATATATATAAACACACCAAACCTTAATCCTAAATGTCATTTAAATATAATTGTTTGTGCATCTTTTTAATTTTCAATTCCTTAATGGGGATTTACTCTTATTTAGGGTGATGGTTTTGTAGAACGTAGAGTGTGTTAGAAGTAAAAAGACTTGATAGAATCCTTTAGTTAAACTATGGTCCTTGTTGAGCCTGGACATTTATAGATTTAGGGACAGTTTAGATTAGTGCTACTTTTTCTGAAAATATAGAATTTTTCTGGATTTTTACTGCTGTGTGAATGCCAGCCTCTGGGCTTCTGTTGAGATGGAGCTTTGTTCAGTTTTCTGTGTTGTAAGATGCAGTATATAGGGGGAGGAGACTGAATTCAGTGTTAAGCACAATTAAATTAACTTGGGTTTAATTCATATGCTTTCTTGAAGAAATTAGTTTTTAATGATCTTTTAAAGGAACTGAGTCTGGGTGAGCAGGGAAAGGAGTCCTATAGGAACGGCGCAGCCCTAGAGAAGTCTTGAAGGCAGGTGTCAGAGGTGCGAGTACGAACAGGTAATAGACGCAGATCTTCGACAGAGTGTAGTGCCCTGGAACATTAGTGAGGATAGGTAGGTAGGAGCAGCATTATGTAAAGATTTGTAAGCAAGCACCAGAATTTTAAATTGAATCATATATCTTATGGGAAGCCGATGTAAAGACTGACATGTCAGTTGTGGGAAGACAGGAAGATGAGCCTCGAAGCTGCATTTATTATAGATTGTAACAGGAACATCTCGGAATGTGTAAGACCTCTGAGACACTGTATGTGTAGCATTGACCCAGGAAGCACCTCTAGTGGTCATCTGAGTGGCTACCACTAGAGATGTTACTAGGCAGCAATGCAAACACTGGCTTTTCTCTGACAAGGCAGTGTTTACATTAAAATGCCTGAAGGGGCAGACTATAAACACTGGGAAAAAAACCTACATTAAGCTGTATTTGTTCTGGTAACTATAGTGTCCCTTTAAATATTGCACCAATTATGGTAAAATTGGTAATCTAATAATTATGCTTTATGTAAAAACGAAGAGAATGCTACTAGCTGTCATAACAGCCTGGTTTAATTCCCCAAACATTCATATGTAGAATCTAATAACTACAGGTTTATTTATTAAAGTGAGTTTCAAATTTAAGGCCAGAGTTGCAAAACTGAAAGCAGAACTTTCCACAGGATTTTCAGTGGTAGCCATCTTGAATCTTGCAAGGACGGATCAAGCACCATGGGGAACACTCCCCAACCAATGCAGGATTTTCAGGCAATGATCAATGCTTCAGTTGCGGCCTCAGTTGAAAAGACCCTACAACGGCTCCGACCCCAACCACATGAAGCGGGGTCACAAGAGGCTGATGCCACCCCAGTTTCAGATGTTCCATGGAGCCAGAGAGGGTTCAAATGTAACTGAAAAAGACCCAGTTCCCCAACGAGAGCCAAGAGCAGGGGCAAGGCCCCCTTGAAAAAACCCACGCCTCCGGCTATGTCATCAGACAATGATGATTCTCTCCCACCTCATGCTCTTGATGTGGTGGACGAATGGTGAGTGGAAGGACTGGCAAGACGACTCCAAATATTGAAACCATGCTGAGTTATTATTTTCCCGAAAAGAATACCTGCCTGCCTCTACCCAAGTCCACAGGAGATGGGGTCTTCCAGGATGTGCTGGGTGTACCACTGTTTGACCCACGCATTATAAGACACCCTAGATCATCTGAATGGACCCTAAAAGACCACCTGGCCCACTCCATTCATTATTGGATCCGCAAGGCACTAGACAAAGAGGTGTGTGCACGTCTACGGCGGAATGCCACCATCCCCTCCTACCAGACAAGATAGCCAACACAACGGAGTTTGACATCAAGGTGGTGGTCTTCATGTCACATTTTGGCAGGGATCCCTGTAAGGGTATTGGGAATGGGTTAAGGAACCAGACAATTTTACATCTCCACCTGGAATGCTTGGAGTAGTTGTTGTTTTGACAGGGGTTCAGATCCCTTTACAGGACCTACTTCTTCAATCATGAACTATATGTCTCATCTTTTGTTGTTAGGTCGTTCTTACAGACTTATGGTGCACTCGGATATTTTAGCTGCTGACATTCCACTTCAAGGTGCTCCAGTGGGTCACCTTTTGAGGGGAATTTAGTTGTCCAGGCCTCCCACACCCAAATATCCTTGTCTCTGGACATCGATTCGGTATTGCACTTTCTTCAGGACTGGCCAGACAATTTTGTCTGGTCTCTGCGTCAGCTTTCAGCTAAGCTCATGCTGCTGCTGTGCCTCATTTCTTTCTGGCATATTTCAGACGTTCAAGCGTTCTATGTTGACATTTTTTCCTTGTCTTTGGACGGCATTTCTTTTTATATCTTGCGCTGGATGAAGTCGGATTCTAACTCTGTTTATTATCCATTTTTTAAGGTGACCCCCCAGTTGTGCATCGTTAGCACTCTTTTACAGTACGTTGAGGTTACTGCGCCTTTATGGTCTGTGCCTTCGGGTCAACCCATAAGGCAGTCTTGACATAAGACTTTGGCTAGATGGATTTGCAGCCTTTGTCTTTAGCTGCACAGAATCCTGTTTTCGGGCTCAATCAGTTCATGGTGCGGTGGCATCATGAGCGCTTTTGGCAGGCGTGTCGTTAGCCGATTGTGACGGTACAATCCGTCAAGCATTCCCTTCTTCCCATAAAATAAAATCACCAAGTAATCCACAGAGTAATAAATCGCTGGTATCGCCGAATAATCCACACATGAGCCAAGGCTTAATGCTGAATTTAAAATGGAGCAGTATGTGGAAATAAAGTGCAAGAGACAGTGCAGGCTGGCCACTCCAAGATAGGGATCACTCCCAACCCCAATAACAATATAAATAGATAAATATATAGTATAGTTAAAAAAATATATACCAGTGTGGGCGCCACAATCACAAGCGTATGAATATAGTTACCATACATGCAGACAGATGTAACCATGTAAAGAGATAAAAAATAAAGCATATAGTGAAGTATTTAATAACACATTTAAAAGAATGATATATACAAATATATGAACTCACAAATGTAGTGGCACAAAAAGGACTTATGTCTCAATTGTGCTAAAAGAGCTTGTCAGCCTCTTCCTGGGCTAAGTTCCCTTTATATATGGATCAGGCTTCCCAGACCTCAGATGGTGATAATGGGTCTTCTCTCAGACGAACCTTAGGGTTGTATGATCCAAAAAGTTTCTGCGGGGATGCTGGCAGCTGTATATCCGCTCAATGCGTTTCGTCCTGTGGACTTTGTCAAGAGCTGTGTGTCCATTATTCTTCCTGCTTTTTAAAGCCTCAAATTTGCGCGGCTTTCATTGTTGCGCGCATGCGCAATGCGGCTAACATTTAAATATATGTAACCGCGCATGCGTGCACATCCAGTCTGGAACGCAGATAACTTTATTGACAATTTGCGCCGGAGGACACATTTCCGTTACGGACCACCTGGTCTTACGGAATAGTGTATAGGCACTTGGAAATCCACATTCAAACGTGCACATATTCAATATAACATAATTTTATGCAGTTTTAGTAGCAATATTCACACTAAAATAGTCATTTAGAATTACATTACAAAAAAGTTTAACATATAACATTCAATATACATATATATATATTCCAAATCTATAATAATAAAAATACATACATTACACATTTAGAAATTCCAAAATTACTAAGGAAAGAAAAAACATAAAGGGACATATTATATGATATCATGTTTATGTTATTTTCTGTATCAACACAGAACAAAATATCAAAGACAGTTATAATGTAAAGTATGTAAAGAATTATACAAGATATATTACTTTTTATAATCATAATTTTTATAATAGTAATTTTAGCCTAAAGATTACAATCGCTATATATCTGTGCACATAAGGAATGTGGGGCTCAGACTGCCAGAGCAGTCCGGGCCCCCCAGGACCGCCGGGCCCATGACAACCGTTATGGTTGTCATGCCCTGATGGCGGCCCTGCCGGCCACCCCGGCCCTCCAGGACCATGTGATCACCATGATCATATCACAGCAATAGGAGTCTAGGAGCTGCCAGCAGGGGGACTGTCAGAGCTGTCAAAATGCTTTAATTATAATATATTATTCATATATAGGAAAAAAATGTGTGTGTGTGTGTATGCACACACACATACACACACACACATGCATTATATACACATATTATACACTGCTCAAAAAAAAAAAGGAACACTTAAACAACACAATGGAACTCCAAGTCAATCACACTTCTG